GCTCGTGCGGGCGTGCGTTTCTTTGCCCGATATATAGTCGAATCCGCTTTGATATCCGATAGAGCTCTACAGCTAGCGGGCGTCGCGCGTACATGACTACGGGCCACGGCTACCATATAATATATAAGGGAGCTGCTCTCTCTAGCTAGACACGCGTTTTCATCGACGAGCAGCAGCCGCCCAAAGGGGAACGAGGCGGAAAAAATCGTGCTTGAATTACTCGCCAGGCCATGGGCTATATACAGCAGAGACAGTAGCGAGTGGATTTTCCGCGATCGCAATTCTTTTAGGATATAACGCGCGCGCCTGTGTGTATTGGTGTAGGAGGCTCGAGCCATAGTTGCTATATACATAGATGAGCGAGAGAAGCTGCTGTGCGTGAGCGCTGACTGCATAAATCAATAAGCCTCGGCATGAACGACGCTAGTAGTAGCACATAGTTGTAGTAGTAGTAGTAGTCGCGCCGCCCCCGAGTCGGGTAAAAAAACGAAGAAACGTCGTCAGCAAGGACATTCGGCTCTCGTCTCTCTCTCTCTTTCTCGATTTTTCTTCCCTTTTGCACCGCTGCTGCTGCTACTGCTGCCGAGTAAGCCTGGAGCGCGCATATATAGTTTTTCTCTCTGGCTGCGGCGCGCTCGCTTGCCATTTTCGCTCTGTCGCGAAACCGAGAGCTCTCGCTCATCCTATCTTTCTCTTTCTCTCTCTGTTTTTTCTCCCTCGCTGCACGTTATAATGTATATACTCGTGCGCCATTGCTAGTATAATACACGCACACACACGAGAGTTTGCCTCGCTTCAAAGCTTCGCTCTGTTCCCTTATATGGTGAAATGTGTACAGGCGGCGCCCTTTTCTTCCCGCACTCGCATCGCGTGCGAGTGCGTGCGTGTATTTGCGAGTAGACGCGTATATCGGTCGCGAGGCAAAAACTACGACGCTACTCTACGCGTATACACTTTTTTGCTGCCTTCGCTCGTGTTGTGTTGTATAAACGAAGCATTAAACATGTGTGTGCTGCTCCTTGTGAGCGAAAAATACCCGCAGCGACGTTTCAACTCCGAATGGAAAATCAATTAGCTTTTGAAAATTCAGATGTTGCAAACTCTCTACTTTTCTCTCTCTATCTCTCTCTCTCTCTCTCTTTCTCTTTTTCTCCTTTTTTTTCATTTCGTTTTTCGCTGTAAAGCAGTTTCTTACTATACAGCCAACGCGATCCATTGTCTCATCAATCTTACAAGTATGTTTTGTGTGCACTTTTTCTAACGGTCTCCTGTTTTTTCACCCCTGCAATGTCAAGTTTGCTAAAACCAATTTACATACTTTATTAGATTGTATCAAAACAAATTTAACCCCCCGCTGAAAATCCAGTTTCCTATCGATCAAAGCCATTGTAAAATCGAAAATAAATATTCCATTTTTTTTAACCATTTATACCACAACAGGTTCAGCAATTGTCTTAAAAACATAAATATGCTTAAACGCAATCGCTCCTACGGTGATCGAACCTATTAGTAACATGATTTTACAAGTACTTAACTGAAAGTAACAAGATCAAAAGTGTCACATTTGATTATGAGCTTTTTGATGCCACCAACAGATGGAGAATTGTAAATTCGCAAGTGGCAAACAAATTTTCGTAATACATTTGAGACTCACTTGCGGTAATTGCGGTATAATTATTTCCGAATAAAGTTGCTGATATCCTCAATGATTCGTCAAATAATCGAAAGCTTATTTTTTACTATTATTGAAGAAAAATGCGTTAAAAACTTCCGGTAATATCCAGTAGATATAAAGGGGAACCTAAAAACTTACGAGCGCAGATGATTCGCAGCTTAAACGCTTTATCAAATAGAAAGAGTCAAAAGTCATGCGGCTCGGCAACATTGCGCAATCGTCGAAGTAATCGCATAAAATCGCACCGATGAGCTCGCGAAAAAAGTGCCAAGAAAAAGATTATTTCAAATTATTATAGGCAGTCGACCGTTTCCATCCATTTTCCAAAGACAATGTATATGTGTGCGCAGACTGAAAGACGAAACGAACGCGCAATATGCAATCTTTATTAATTTGTATAGGCTAGCTGCAAAAAACAGCAAGATGCGTGTATATTATATAGCGAGCGATGATACAAAGCATTAGTCACGCGGATGCTCGGCTCCTTGTTATAATCGATCTTCTGAATTTTAAATTTAGTTATTTACTATGTATATATGGTTACATCACAATCTCAAAGTGGCATCTTATACTATAAGATCAAGGCAACAATGGAGAGCCACTGTAAGCTACTTGTAATAATTCAGTGAAGATTTTGCTATCACCGCGTATGAAAAAGACGTAATATCCAGTCATGCTATACCCATATGCTGTAACAATAGAATTCTTTCTATACAACATTTCTGAGAGATGCAACTGTTATCTTGGGGTTTTCCGTAACATGTCGCCCACGCATCTTCTCTTAATGTAAAGCTTACTCTAACAAAGTAAAAAATTAAAAAAATGCATTCAATATGGTCCTGTAGGTGCACGAGCAGATGAAATTTCGAATTATTGTACTTCATTTTAATTTTGCATTAACCTAAAATTTTTTTTATATTAGCAATTCGATTTCGTTCCAAGCGATAAGTTATGATATAATTTTCGGGCTTGAAAATAAGTATGATTTCTCATGAGGACACGTTTTAATCCTCTCCGTTTAATTAAAAAGGAATAGTTAATAGCGAGGCAATTACCAATTATTGTGTTAAAAACGCTGGTAAAATTTTAATTAATCTCGAGACACGTTTGAATGGCTACGTCTGGAACAAATCGCCTCGGAGTTATCTGCGAAGTCGTCGTCGTGCTGAGCTTGAAAAAAAGCCTCAGTATTTTCACCCCTCTCGATTCGCACAAGGAGGCTAGACTATAGTCCCCTGAAAGAGTTTGACGAAGAAAAGTTGACAGTCCGATAAATGATAATGAACTTACCTATACGTTAGCTCTAACGATTCTAATTCATTTGCCAACAGCATTGCAGTGGAGCTCCTTCCTTTCGCAGTCGGAGCCCTCCCCACTCATCCTTGGCTTTTTTTTTATTTAACTCTCGGAGAGAGCCTTAATACAGAGATATTGATCATTGGCTCGGAGATAAGCGGAACGTATAAGAAAACTATCGTAAAGCGAAGATAAGTGGGTCGTATAATAGCTTTTTTCTGAACGAGCTCGGGTCTCTCGTTAATTGATTTTTAGCATAAGAAAAATTTCGTCGCCAACTCAATTACCCCTTAAAAGTTTTCACTTGATTATTATATTTATGAAGAATGATTGCCACAATAGTTATGAAATTAAGGTAAAAATTAAAAGCTCAGTTTTTATAATGTAATCGAGAAGCTTTAATCATGGATTACATAGATTTAATTAAATTTATTGAAATAAAAATCTATTGAATAATATAAATATTTAAGAAAGATTGATAGTGTAAGCTAACGATTGAAGATGCATCGAACCTGATTTTTCAAGCATTGTTTCATATTTGGTTACAATTTTTGTGATTTTGTCTAGCTGAGCGAGCCATTTTTATCATCATCAAACTTTTATCAGCATACTAATTCGGTAATCCTACGTCCTGGAATTGTCCATGAATAGATTGACTTAAATGAAATAACAACATAATATTGCAACATCCGGAAAAAATTTCGACTAGAATATATAATCGCAAGCTTAAATTCTGTGATTATTCTTTATGGTTGACAATTAATTATCGATATTTGCATACAATACACTATATACAAAGTTATACCTGTAAATAACGATATAAAAATTTAAGTTTATTGACAAATATTTAGTCTTAGTACTTAGGCGAAGGATCGTCACCGAGTTTGAATTTTAAATTGGTTCAAATGTTGTAAAAACAATGTATAAACAGATCAATCGGAACCTTAATTGTAAACAATATGATCATAAAAGATTTTAATATCATCTCTCGAAACACTGATCATGTTTATAGTAACAACAAATTAGTTCAAATTTTGTTTTCCCGATGAAATAACTCATAAAACTAGAAGATATATTTCACTCATTCAATTTACGTGACATCAAATAGAAGGATCCATTGTTTGATTTAGACACAAAAATGGATAAAAGTGAGAAGAAATCTGTGGAAATTATCTCGAAAAATAATTTAAGTGAACAAGATATTGCCGTTTCAGACGACAAAAAACACGTTTGTGATATTTGTCAGGAGGCATTTACACGAGAATCAAGCATGATCACACACCGTAATACACTTCACAATGACCGGAGAGATTTCACATGCGAAATGTGCGAAAAGAAATTTGAATTTTGAAGTCATTTGAATAGGCACCAAATATCAGAACACAAAAGCCGCAATGATTTTGCATGCGACAGATGCGAAAAGACATTCGTGAAAAAATCGAGTTTGTTGACGCATCAGAAATTAGTACACAAACAAGAAGATTTGACGCGCAACAAGTGCGAGAAGAAATTTGAAAATAAATCAACTTTAGTTAAACACAACAAAATATTCCACGAAGTTTTCAAAGATTACTTATGTGAAAAGTGCGCGAAAAGATTTGGAAATAAACAAAGTTTGTTCCTGCACATAAAAACAGCTCATAAGGATCGCAAAGATCTGGCATGTGACAAGCTCTTCCACCTAAAGATAGTACACGATGTCATCAAAGATTAGTTATGTGAAAAGTGCGCAAAGAGATTCGGAAATAAACACAGTTTTCTCGTGCACATAAAGGCAGTCCATGAGCGTGGACAAAAATCGACTTTGCTCTCACACCATAGGACGATTCATGAAAGGCGTAAAGATCACACATGTAACATTTGTGAGAAGAAATTTGGAAGAAAATCGCATTTGATTGAACATCAAAAAACAGTCCATGAAGGTCGAAAAGATTTTTTTTTTGTGACAAGTGCGAGATGGGATTTGGTCAAAAAATGAATTTGCTCCGACATTTTTTTTTTTTTTTTTTTTTTTTTTTTTTTTTTATAGATAGAGAAATGCGTTACGCACCGTAAGGAGGTTGGAGTTGAAGTCAACCCCGAACCTCCCCGTGTGTGGGACTCGCCCTCAACCGATTTGCGTCGGTGAGGGAATACCCACTAAAACTCTATCTGCCCGAGCGATGGAAGTGCTCGGACGCGGCTTTATTTCGTGGTGCCGTCTTAGATGGTGGGAGACCACGTTCTTCAAAAGATGTGCGCGAGATGATGCCAAGGCTACCCTATGCCTTCTCTTCTACCTGCAGAGTTAATACCTGTATAACCACTCATGTGCGTGGTCATTTTATTCCACCGGAGCCAATTCATGTACGAACCACGGAGAGCTCTAAACGTGATGGAATCCAAACATTTGCTCAATCCGAGTTCGCACAGACTCGCGGCGGAAGCAGCGGACCAGATAAAAAAATTTGGGTTTCAAAGCGCTTTGATTAGGCACCAAAGGATAGTACACGAAGGTCGCAAAGATTAAGCTTGCGGGGAGTGCGAAAAAAAATTTGGACAAAAATCAGATTTGTTCCAGCATCATTACATTGTACACGAAGGTCGTAAAGATTACGCATGCCACATTTGTGAAAAGAAATATGGGGATCAAAGAAATTTGAGAAGACACCTAAAAACAACTCATTAATTAAAGATTACTCGTGTGACAGTTGTGAGAAGAAAACAGTTTTTTTTAGACATAAACAGAATTTGCTCAAACACCAAGAGAAAATACACGAAGGTTGCAAAGATTACGCACGCGACAATTTATACACATTTTTTCTAAAATTTCAATGAAAATTGCGCTAAAATGATTGTGTGTTACTTGAAGATTATTATCTATCATCACACCTTTTGTTCACTGTCGTGGTTAATGTTTCATTTTTTAACCAGACGACTACTAATTTGTAAATTTTGGCTCATGCAGAGAGAATTTTTTCCCCCGTATTGTTTGAAACTATGTCATAACAATTTCAACTGACGTACAAAGCATGGATAACGTAAAGTAATATTTTTAATTATAACTCACAGCCACCCTCGAAACTTACAAAGAAAACACCCCTAAGAAAAAGCGTTGAACTACCTACGCGCGAACAACAAGTTCAAGTAAGTGCGATAGATGCCGTAAGAAATTTTGAACTATTTCTATCTGGTAAACAGCAGCTATAGAGATGCAGTAAAAAAAGCGAGCGCGGCAGCGACGGTAACAACAACAGGCATGGCGCTGCGCGACCAAGTGCGATGCGACTGTGCACAGCAAGAAGAAAGCAGACAAAAAAAAGACGAAGCACATGCCGCCAAGTCGTGATGTACATATCGATTCGGTCGGGCGCTCGCGTGAGCTCACGGCTAGCTCGATTAATGGCTCTATTAGAGGCTCTCGCGCGCGCGCACAGCTTGTAATTGCGTGCCAAAGCGATCGTGACACTCGCGGCCTGAGCGCGCACTGCCTGACGAGTGCGAGCCGCGCTTCTTCTTATCGGACGCTCGTATCATTGCGCCAATACGCACCCGGAGGAGGCTTCGAGCGCGCGAGGCTTTTCGTAATTCAAGCTTTGGATCGTCGATTCCATAGTCCTAGGGAGTCCTCGAGCATCGCGTCGAGCTTGAAGCCTGCCCATTATTATACTCACCCTGGTAAATGAATTTTAATCGGTCAAGAAGGAAGGAAAGTAAAAAAAAACTCGAGCATGGTATTTAGCCGTAAAGACGTAAAAAGAAGGAGAGAATACACGAGGAGATCGCGCGCGGTATCGCCCAGGCATTCGCGTAATAATAAGTTGCCTGCGCGCGATCGCGACGTGAACACGAGCACCTTCTATAAACATGACCGCTGCGCGCAAGGAGGTGAAGGCGCGTCCGAGTTAAATTAATTTTGCCCCTGTTCCTTTGCGCGCGATCGTAATGAAATAGCCGCGGCAGCGAGAGACCGAGGTGCAAAAATGTAATGAGCTGCTGCTGCCAGCGCCGCCGCCGCCGTAGCTCGTCGCTGTGGCGACGGCCGAGAGTGAGACGAGCCAGCCCCAGCCATTCGACAGCATTTATACGGTGCAGTACCGTCTCGAGCTGCGGAAAAAAGCGAAAATAGTGCAAGACTTTTATTATGTAGAAGATGAAACACCAGCTGAGCTGGGAAGAAAAAGTCGCGCGTAAGTGATTCCAAGTGTCTGGGGCGTATCGTCCTCGTCAGGAAGTCGGCGCTGGCTGCGCCACAAAAGCGCGTATCAAAGCGAACGAGCGAGATGGGCTGCTGCTCTGGCTTGCCCCGGACGCGCCGCAGCCCCCAACGTCTCGCCGATCGTCGGCGGCCGTGTCCGTTCGTGCGTGCTAGTGCACGAGCTCTACTATATGTGCACGCGCGCCACTGCTACAGCCGTTGCCCGTTGTTGTGCGTGCGCGGCTACATTAAATGTATAGCGAACGGCTTGATAATTACAGGCGTTTACTCGCGCGTACACCTATATATACAGTCGCGCACTGCACGCACGTCGCGGCCTCAGCTCGAGAGAGAGAATATCGGCCCCGACACGACTAGCCCACGATCACCCCGACGCAAGACTCGCGCCTGCCCGATGATGCCTCGTGAAATCTCTTCCCTCTGCTCTCGCAGCCAGCGCTACAATTACTCTCTCTCGCTCGCCGATAACAGAGTAGCCGAGGCAGCAACTGCACACTCAAGGTTGGAGCCGAGGCTCTTTATTCTGCAGGCCATGGCTGCAGCCAGCTCGCAAACGTGCAATTTCGAGCGACCAACTACGACGTTGCGGCGCACGTCTAAATACACATGTATCCAGAGTGCGGATCTGCAGCTTTTTTGGAACTTTCATCGCTCCCGCTTGGACCGATTCTATTGCTGATCGTCGAGCTCACGCACATATGGCTAATTTATAAGCTTTCCCCTTGCTATTATGGACGTGACAACCCCCTAAGAGCCGACCTTTAATTTTCAACTTCGCAAAAATCTCGAATTGCACCCGCGAGCTTGAATCATTTTTTTTTTATTTTTTACTAATTTTATACATTTCAAGCGGCCCCGAGCTCGTGCGTCATCTAGTTCATCGAACAGAATTGACCAATAAAAAGGACTTTCTGCCACTTGTGAGATTCATCGTCTTTGGCTTTGTCCTGAGGACTTTATACCCGAAGCATACGTCGAAGTTTGCTTAGTTTCGCGGAAAGCGTCTCATCATCGGTGACGCAATCAAAGTTTGTGGTCGACGCTGTCCACTGTGCAGGTTTACCGTATAGGCGGTTAACTCGAACGTCGTCGCGCGACGTTCTTCGTGGCCGTATTTTCTCTATGAGTCAAATTCCGCATGTCAAAGGGCCCCGGTATAGACGCGCACCGCTGAACTACGCATGTGCCTCTGCTGCCTTTTGTCCAATAATAAGCTCTACGAGAAAAATCCCTTCTTCGCGTAATTAAAGTCACCTGCATCGTATTATTTATTAGTGCTTATTGACGAGCGCGTCAAAGGTTCAAAACGATGATAATCGTGTATGTGTGCACAACATCTTGTCATTATTTTTACGAGCTTGATTTTTTTCAATCCAATGTACACAACTAAATCGAATGAGAAACTATTAAAATGGTTTTTCCTAAAATGAATTATGTAAAAGTATTTTAATTGAGAATGGTTGAAATCACAAACAGTGTTGAACTAGCCTGTTAAAACTTTTTCTTTCACACGAAATTTTGCGTACTACTAATTGCTACTATTATTGAAGAATTAACCTTATTGATCTTTTGTCCAATGAAAAATAAACATTGCTAATAATTAATAATGCTTGAGAAGAAGCTTCCTTTAAATTGACTGGCACAGGACTTTAAGTTTGTTGGGTGACCTAGACTGACCGATAATCTAACGAAATTGCCTCGTCAGTGAGTCGGCGAGCACAAATTTACAGCGCAAAGTATTCTCAGCAAGATTCATTGGAGGCTTTGCTTTCTCTCTTTCTCTCTTGCTCTCCTTCGCTCGTTCAAATGAAAAATTTGCAATTTAAGTCGTTAGACAATCTTTGGATCGTCCAAGTTGTTGTTGAGAATTAGAGTACGCCTTTATACAGTATATGTAAAAGCCTCGTGGCTGCATCGGTATGTTAACGAGCCTCGCACCTCTTGGACCTGGCACGTGTTTATATATATGAGAAACTTCGCTCAGCGCGACTGAAGTAACTAAGGTAAGGTGAGACTATATCGGTAATCATCGGCGGCTTTAGCTTTTCGGAAATGAGACTAGATTATTTACTGCAGTCCGTTATTTCTTAACATTTTCACTGATTAGCTTACGGATAGAAGAAAATTTCAAGTGTTCTCGCAAGCTACGAATGACAATACTTTTAGATGTTTAATTAATACACTTTTCAATTGTAACTTTTTACTTGCGTTGCGATAAATTATTTTTCAGGGTTACTAATTAACAATCTTTCGGTGGGTATTAAAATAAATGTAAAATCTATTTCCGATAATTTTTACGTTTAAACAAAGATTATCATAAATCGAAACGATTAGAGTGTTAGAATAGATGAATGAAAATATCGCTGGTTTCTTGATCGTTGATCGATCGACGTTGAACTCGACAATGTTTTTACGCGCAACAGATTCAATTATGAAGCTTCACAAAAAGCTCGCGACTATTCGTAGAGCCTACGATTCTCCCTGGCTCCTTTATATGCCAGTTGGTCGGTTGCAGAGACTGATACGCACTCTGGCGTGTGTATACATACATAAAGAAACACACACGCGCACCTAACTACACCACTCGCATACATATATGTATACACATTTACTAGTGCAGTGTTTTAAACGTAGTTCAACTTCACTCGCGCGCTGCCGCTCTCAGGTCTCTATAACGGTGTCTTCGATGCACTCGACAAATCATTCGAGAAAGAGAGAGAGAGAGAAACCATAGCTGCCGCTGCTTCGGCTGCTGCTGTTGCTGCTATCAAACGAATCGTCCCGCGAGTCTCGCTTCGCTTCTCTCTTTCTCCAAGTGCGTGCATAGATCGAGAAGTCTTGCAATTGCTGGCGAATACGCGTATAAAAGACTCATTCGTATCATATGAAAATCATAATAATACATATCCGCGAATCTAGGACCCGGTTTTTGTTACCCCGAGACGTAAAATATGGATGTATCCAAGTATCGCAGTTCTAACCCGCGATGACTGTTGTACTTGTTATATTGTTGATGATGTTGTTGATGTTGCCCGAGTTTGTTCGCTTGTCGTATTCAAGTCTATAATGTTGACATTACTTGTACATATAGCTATTTCACACGCGGGAGCTATTATCGTGCGAGTAAAAATTAGACGTAAGTACCTCGTCCGAACTTGCTATAAATTCATTCATAACGTTGCGGGAATAATTTATGAACGTTTCGAATTTCTCGAGCTCGTTGAATTTTATCCAGACGCTGCAGGGGAATGCGACCTTCCTGGCGCTAAATGGAACGATCTGATAAGAGCCATAGGCCCAGCGTGCACGCATGTACCTTTACTGACTCCTTGCCAGATTATATATGTACTAATATTCATGTTACACCACGGTAAACTATACCGCTGCACTGCCATATAACACTGTTTTACCTATAATACACAGCTAATTTCAATTCCTTGCTCGGTCGCTTTATTTACTGAAAATTTCGCTCGGCCGCGCACTTACTCTCCCACGCTGTGCTTGCGCAGCGTTACAAGCTCGCCTCGCATTTGTCGGCAAGGTGTTTGCCACTGATTTCTGACTCGATATTTCTCACTTGAACTTTTGCGAATTAGAAATAAAACTTTCCGAAGCTACTTGTACAATCGATGAATTTTACCCTATTTACTTCTGGAACTGCTAAATTATATAGTCATGCCGTATATAGGTACGTTGATACTTGGCTGCAGTACTGTGTTGTTAACCGCGAGGACTTTGAGATAACGAAAAGTGTGTTGCTGCCGTCAGCAGCGACCCATGCGAAAATTAATGCGCCACGAATCTTACGTCTCCTTCCCTTACGCACGCACACCGACAACAACTTTGAGCACTAGCTGCATGAGATGCAAGTCGCACACCCACAACTACACACACACACTTGCTAACTCGTAGTTCGAATGTATTATACGTACGAAGAAGTTGGCCTTATCAACGAGCTCGAGGGAATTGGCTCTTTTTCGCACTTTTTATCGTCTCGCAGCTCGGGATGCAGCGGCAGAAATTCAGCTTCGAGCTCCGCGGAGAAAGGAAAGCGATCGCACATACAAACATTCGCTACCCGGTGCAAAGCAAGCAACGGTTTTCTAAATTATGGCCAAGCTTTAATTAACGGATAGGCCGGTAATTAATGACCCTCTCGAGCTTACTCGCTTGCTACCTAATTGTCTTGCGCAGATATATGCGGCCCTTCTGCCTTTTCTCGGACTTTGCACTTCTTCTAGACAATTTTATCTCGTGCCGCGCAGATAACGACATATGATTCTCCAAAAAGCGGGTTTAAAATGGATCGAGCGGTTTCGGAGATAGTGCCTCTGAATGACCGCATATAAGGGTCTTTTTTTGTGGAACTCCCCTTGACGCCAGTCACTGTAAATTAAGCTTTCACTACTTATTTTGTTGCAGCATGCACTTTAAATATAATAATGAGGCATTATTTCAACAAATGTAAAAATCAAGTTTATTAACTTTTGATGAGTATTGAACGAGTAAAATGTAGTATTCCTAGATAGCCAATTAGCTTTTTACCTTATATCACGGAACATATCAAGTATTTTTTGACAAGTTGATAGTTGCTTTTTAACGTAGCTTATTGATTACAATTCTTAAGCTATTACTTCTAGGGCTTCTTTTTTTTCTTTTTTTATCTCCCATTGAGGAACACTCATTCGAAATCAGTAATGTTTTCATCCACGTCAAGACCGAGCACAGAATCATTTTGAAAGTGTAATTCATCCTATAAAAAAGCAGTCAAAACAATTTTCATTAAATAAATCTTTTCAACAAATACTTATTTGTACTCACTTTAACTAGCACAAATCCTATGCATATCGTAGGCTGGAAATCCGCGTCGCCGTTTTCCTGGGCCTTGAAATAACTTTGGAGCAATTTTTTTATTTTTGCTAGTCTTCTTTTTTTTGGCTTATCAGTCCAAACTTTGCTGTAGATGTCGAGCAGCAAGGAGGTGTGAAAAGCTTTTTTACATAATTTTTTTGATCTTATTGCATCCATAATTCGAAAGACTTCCTTGATAGCCTCTTTTTGCTGACGCATTAAAACGATCTCATTTTTGGAGCTGAAAATGATAAAGATTATATTTAACCAGAATATGGAAGCTAACCGTCGTTTATTCACATTTTCTCATCATAATGATAAAAAACAGTGTGTATACTATTCTACTGTTGTGTTTCATACCGAGCTCCCTGCTGAATCTATCAGTATGGCAATGCAAGTGAGCTCTGCCATAGACACCCAGTGAAACTACCGCGTCCATCTATGATTCAATAGGGCGTTTTCAGATTGTCTCGAAATGGTCACTTTACTGATTTGCCTGGAGGAACAACAAACAAGGTGCTGCGGGTTATGTAAATGAGAGACCTTGTTTGTTGTTCCTCCAGGCAAATCAGTAAAGTGACCATTTCGTGACAATCTGAAAACGCCCTATTCTACGACTAAAAGATTTTTTAAATTCAAATATTCTCCTCTCCCCTCATCTGTTATAATCGAGGTATTATTAGAAACAAAGTACGAAAATAAAAAAAAGTGAATCGAAATATTCTCGCAGATAAATATCACAATACACAATACATTTGGGTAAAAAATGCCACTTGAGTAGGGTACTTTTCACAAAAAGAGTTCAAATGAAATTCAAGAAACTTCCGTTTAATGAATGTTTTGATTGTGAAATCGTGCAAAATCAATTAACTTAATTATTACATTCTGAATTTGCACTCAAGATTTTTAACACGTAGGAATTTAGTTCGGATTTTAGTAAGCTATTCAATTATTACCTTATATGCGAATGAATCTCTTTTTGATGACTTCTTATAAAACTCCGTAATTGTACCACTTCTGCGGTTGTTGTTGGTTCACGAAAAAGGTGACGATGAATGCCCCGAAATTGAGCTGCGGATATTCCCTCGATATTCAAATTCATTTTTTTTGAGTATGAAATGAGATCTTGATATTTACGAGGAGTATCAAGAATCCTTGAAGCAATGCCCTTTGGCATTTTGATTGGAAAATATGATTTTACGCAGAGAAGCAACGATTACAAAGTATCAAAACAATTGGTGAGTTGAGGAGTAAGTATTAGGTTAAAAACCTATGCTGTACTACACACGGGGATAGAAGTTTACCCTTGCCTCAGGGAGACTAGTTCCGTAAAGACAACAGAAACGAGTTCACCTGCAGAAATATATTTTTTAGCAGTTGGATTTGAAAACATTGGTTAAAGACCGTCGAGCAGTTTCGAGGTTATGAGAAAGCACTGGATCGCAGTATAGCCGTATTTAAACATTATACACGCACACACATACACCCACGCGCGATATTTCTCATCGTTATGGAATACGTTCGGATTCATCTGTTCAAAAACATACGTCTCTGCATGTATAGACGTCCAAGCAGTGGTGTCAAAGCTCGCACAAGTCGACGCGTTGAAACAAAAACAAATATCACCGTGAACAACTACTCATTGGTGATTGGAAATTCTCCTCGTAGAAGCTAGTTCCTCTAAGATATTCGGACTGTGGAAAGACATAACCAAATAAAAAAATTATTTTACTGTCAACAATACTCCGCCGGTAGCAGTGTATCCTTTATCCGCGCCTCTGGACTCTCTGCCCTGCAGCGCACTCGGGTGCACGGCTCATTCGTGCCTTGCGGTCAACGCATACACTACACACCCTGTCACAAGGAATAATTTCAGTTGACCCAGATGAACTTAATCATATAAATCGTTTTTGATGTCACTACAGAATTAGTCTCCCTGAGCCAAGGGTAAACTTGTATTTTAGTACATGCGCATTGAAATATAAACAACAAAATTTCTGCTGATATGAGAATAACTAACTATTTTCGAGAAAGTAACACAGAAAATATTAAAAATGATTGATGCGAGAAGTGCTAAGCTATAGAAGCTCTTGGGCGACACTAGACTTTTGCCTCTCGATTATCATTTAAAAGTAACTCAGATTTTAATGATGGCGACGCTTTCGAGACATACTGGGTTAATTTTCACGTAAGCAGTACAAGCTGATTGATGCCAATACACTTGGACTCAGCAAATAATTTTCTATTAAAAACTAATGTAAATTTTTGAACGAAGATGCAATTATATCCTTGAAATTCAAACGATTATGAAGTGTGAATAGTATTTACTAACAAGACAGTGATTTATGCAGTACAACCCATTGTCGTTTATCATAAATGAAAGGTCTTTTCGCACTAATCCTGCCAATGAAAAGACAATGGCTTACTTTTTCCGAGCACAATGATATATATTACTTGCTTCATACATAATTGATTTAGCCGAAAGGTAAGGATATCCTATCATTTGTCGATGACATCACCAATTTTTTTTATTTACCATACCAAGCACACAAATTATTTATCAAATAGTCTTTGACACTCTAATTTTGAAAATAACAAAAAATGGTATTTACACATCCTGCTAAAAATAATAGAGCTTCATTTACTTATTTACATACTAATACTAGTATACTGAATATTTAAACTCACAATTTTATTTTAATTGACGAGTGACGTAAATCTAGAAAAAATTCAGAGAAAATTAATTTTTGTCAATGATTATTGGTACTTCATCGGTAAATCAACTATGTGAGCGGATAATTTGTCGTTGTCAAGCTTTCGAAGACTTTTCAAAGATTCGCCGCTGAAACGGAGTATAAGAGGCTCTACTTGACATTGGAATTAACCATATGTACGATCGCAAAGTACACACGTGTACGCGCGTACGTATCGTATAGGATACCACGTAGTAAAGCAATTTCAGAGTATTACAAATTTCGGAATATCGTCGCAGTCGTGTCTCGAGGCAAAGTGCGCGCCTGCGGCCGGCATTTCCGACAATTTAAACGATCTGTTTATTAAATTCGAAGTCGAGTTTTGATCGGCAAGCCGCCACTGGCGCGCACACAGCGCAACACTTTAAGAGCACCGAATTATACGCAAAAAGCTTTAATCAAAAGCATCGGGAGAATCTCGCGTGACGAGACTCGTCTGCAGCGCGCGATCCTTTGGTGGTGGCGGCGTCGTCGCGACAAATGCGGATTATTTAACTCATTGCAGACCCTTCAAAAATTGCCTCCTTGGACATTGCAGATGTATGTATGTACGTATGTATGTATGTGGCATATACGATTCTCTCTACTGCTGCTCGTCGCTGCTGGTGGCGGCAATGATTATTTCTCAAAGCGAGTCTCTCGCGTGAGATGTCGAGTAATCGGCCTCCCGAGAATTCAAGCGTTTCTGCACGTAAGTGCTCTTGCGAACTCCCGACATACACAGCTCGAGAAATGTTCCAACACCGTCATCGGCACGTCGTCGTCGTCGTCGTCGTTGAAGTTTTGGCGACGAGTTCGTTGAACCATGCAGGAGCCACGAGCAGAGAAGCGCAGCTGAGCTTAAAGTTAATGGAACATGGCCAATGGGCGTATATACATATAATAGAGCGTGTAGGACCGCAGGCCGATGCACAGAGCGTCCTACACACGAGTTCCACACGTTTCGCGTCGAGTTGAAAGGGATGCCGGATGGCGAGCGTGTGGGCTCAATTATTACGACTGTAGCGCAATTTTTTCCCCTTTTTTTTTCTTTTCGGCCTCCCGGCATTCTCATCGTATACCGCAGCTCTCATCGCGTTCTGTGAAATTCGACCGAATCAAGCGCCACTTATATACACCACGAGTCTATTCGAAATTTACAAATTGAGCAATCAGGCAGTAATATTAAAAAACATATAGACGAGCTGAGTGCACTTGCAGATTTCGAGCATTGTAAGTGTACTTTGATCAGTTAATTATTAATTATCTTGGTAGAAATAACCAATATTTTATAACTAGTTTCGGGTCAACGAAAAATTGTATCAAAACAATCGCCGAAAACAAATCAGTTAATATTTTAACGTATTTGATAATATTTTAAATGGTCATCAGAATGGGTATGGTAGTGACAAGAGTGCAATCAAAATTTTTTAGGTAGTCGCAGAATATGCGGCATAAAAACGACCGAGACAAGTCACAGTGAAAATCAATATAATTTCTAGTTTGCGATTCATAAAGGATGTAGCGATGACGCAAGCCAAGGAAGAAGTGCATTAATCATCTAATGTAAGGGTGAAAGGTCGCTGTAGATATCGCCGTGTAATACATTATAACATATATAGTTTTGTTGGCTAAGGCAGTCAGGCAGGCAAGCAGTTGACTGCACTCGTGCACACGTATACCAGACGCGCGTTCAACGCGTCTCGTTATGCGGCCGAAGATATGTCGCGGCATTGATAGGACCTCGAACCTAGCTGGCAAAACGTGACAGCAGCGATGCGCTGACTTTTTTTAATCGGCTCTCGATCGAATCGGGCAATCGACTCGACGGATACTGCGCGCGGATCTCACCGCGCAACTAAACACTCGCGCTCTCGACTCGACGGATTAAATGTTCTCCTTGTAATGGCATTTTGCTGCAGTGCACCTATAGCACTATGTGTGTATACTGTAAGCTCGAAGATCGACGCGAGCTCCAAGTGCGAATCATCAGCGCCGCTGCGGATGATCTTTCGAATCGATTGTACTGTACGTCAGCCTTGGCTAACCGCGACTTTTTACACTTCCAACTTCGTGTTCGCGCAGATGCTGCGAATATGTGAATGCCAATAATGTTCGCTGCACACACATATAACAACGAAGAACTGCGCAGCGACCTTATATGCGCTGCTGCTCGATGAATTGTCCGATGTCTGCAGAAGCTCGTGCCAAAGACCATATACCATAGGACACTTGATAAGCCATTGATGCTCTTACCCATTAGTTCTCTTGTTCATTATTATCTGTCCTTTCTTCCGAGATTAAAGCTGGACGTGCAATGGACATTGTTGTACTCAGCCACGGCGCTAGCGACTAAATTTAACTTTTACAACGGTAACTTTCTCGTACGCACGAGGATCCGATTTGTTATGTCATAAATTAAATTAAATTTTACTGAGACAGTGAATGCTTTACGTTTTTGCTTCAGTCTTCTTATATGATCGAATTGTCTCCGTTAGTACCGTTTTTTGGATGTTTGAAAATGCAATATTGAATATGTGACCCCAGTAAATCAAGTAACCAAAGCAACCCGTCTTTTTCAACTGTAATTATTATAATATACTCAAGATCAAAAAAATAGTTTGCGCTAGGTCGTTTCTGTTATTTACGTTTGCATTTTCAAAAGTTTGATTGTCACTATTTCGTACCTTTCAAAACTTTCTTCATTTTGTGGGGGCCTCTAGTCAACTTGTATATTAAACCTGACACTTCACCGGGGTTAAAAACAAGAAAAAAATAACTACAGTTCCGCGTAAAGAAATCTTTTTCTTTGAATGATCGTATGTGTATCAATAGGAAAATTATAACCATTTTGTTTTTTAATTAATTAATTTATGTATTTGAATAATATAGAAAAAATGCTATAATAAACAACAACGGATATAAAAATATACTCAAAATATGCTTATCGTCTTCATGAGGTTTGGCCTGCAGCCGCCTGGCAAATATGCCACAAATCCTCGTTTATTAGCTGCTTGATGATCATATCGCAGCAAAGAATCGGCAGCTGGTAGTGCATCAGCTCCAAAAAAGAGGCCAGTGCCCATCGCCGGAAAAATCCCCTCGATAGGTTCTCACACAGATGCATAACACAAGTCTGAATAGACCCTTGTGGGAGCTCATACAATTTTTCCGACCAAGCAAACGCGAAGTAGTCCTTAAATTTGAGTTGTTTCATCGCTTCTACGGGTCGTAACCGAATCAGATCGTACAGTGACAGACTTGGTTTCATCATTACTTTTTTGGCTTGTCTCGCAAATTCCTCGTCATCGTACCAAAATTCGTCATAGTCCGCCGACTTTTCGAAAAATCCGTGTTCAGAAAATAATCCCATCAAGGTCAGAGTCTCACTTCGCTTCAATTCGTATCCTCTTTTTTCTAATCGCTCGATGACGGGCAGAATACCAGACGCTACAATCAATTTAAAAGTACACAAATCCTTTTTATCATACAACCACTCTTCAAATTTCTGGTCAAAGTGGCTCTTAGTAGGAAAAACGAAGCTGGACAGATCAGCACCGCGATCCAAGAGTAAATCGACCACATCTGGCAAGAAGCTCGTCACGGCCCATTGAAGAGGTGTCCGACCCAATTTGTCCACAGCGTCAATTGGCACCAGCTGATTGAGTTCATCGTTCATTTCTAAGAATAGCTTCGCCAAGTCGTCATCATCATTTCTTTGGCAAATGGCATGTAGCGGTGGACACCCATCTGCACTGGCTAAATTAGGATTAGCGCCATTTTTCAGCAGCAATTCGACCACTTTCCTATGGTTCCAGACCAAAGCCATATGAAGCGGCGGAGAAATTCGTTCTTCTTCTTCTTCTTCTTCTTCTTCTTCTTCTCTTTCTTGACTTTTAACCGTTCTTAAGGCTCGGACATTTGGATCCTGACCAAGCTCCAAAAATTTTTCAACGACATCGTTGCAGCCATACTCACAGGCTAGATGAAAATGTGTGAC